TGCTCACCACCCGGTGACCAACACCTGTCTCATCCCAGCAAATGATCCCAAAACAGGTAAGTTTCTTCACCGCAACCTCCGATGAGCAAGAGGCCCAAAACAAGACTGAGACCAAGATAGCACTCTGAGAGTGAGAGCCCCTGGAAAAGCAAAAAGCCCTTCTTTCCAGTCAATCCTCACCTATATGCTAGGCATGACGCTGCATGATATGGAGCACTCCACTGGTCAATTTAGCCCTCAATCCTAAGTCTAAATTCAAATCATAAGGGGAGTTGTGGGCCTTGGCAAGAACACAGCAGGCTGGAAAACCTTTGAGGTCTCAATGTCAAGTATAAACACCAGTGCGCTATCAACATTCTTCTCATAACAAATCCCAGACTAAAATCAACACAGAGCTCTGTCCCAGATGAAATCAGGACAATAACTAAGCATAGACATATGCCTATTATTTAATTCATGTCATGGTACCCTCAGCTATAACTGTTCAAGAAGCACACTATTGTGGAAATTGCATTTCCAGAAACATGGAATACGAAAGAGGTATGCCATAAAAACACACATCTCCTGTTTATTTTTCTCTAGAGGTACTGTAAACAACTAATAAATCTTCATCAGTCAAACATAAATGTCTTTGTGACGGTCCATTATGTTAGTTCCCATACCACCAACTTATTATAACCTTTAGTTATCTCAATGAACAAAATTTTATATAAAAACTGTTGACTGTAAAAAAATAACTGTGCACATTTTAAAGAGGCCTCTCATACAAAAACAAGCCAACAGAAAACACAAAACACTTGGCCTTCTGCGGTAAAGTCATGCTAGCTCACTTGAAGTAGTTTACTCTGTTTAAAGATTCTTACCTCCTCATCAGATGTTAAATGTTGAACTGAAGTTTCATTTGGGCTTTGGGATAACTTTATCTCCGGCTGCACATCTGAATGGACAGAGGAGTCCCAGAAGTTGCACTCAGATGCCTGCTTTGTCCAGTCAAGTGCATCCCAAACTATTAACTCACCCACGTGAGAACCTGTCACAAAAGTCAAGTCTAGAGGGGGCAAAAAACCACACACAGAAATCACATGATATAAAAAAATCCATTCCACACGAAGTTAGAACCCTAGAAAGTTAAGAGAGCCCATTTTCTAGTGAAGCTTTGTAGTACATAGCTGACTGCACAAAAACCTCTCCCTTTGAGTAAATACTCATTTGATTACCTAAGCATAGCTCAGATGAGCAAAAGGGGATGAGCTCTCTCTTGTAAAATGAAAACTAGGAGGGAGAACATTCACTGGGCACAGTGCACAGTACAGTACAGAAAAGGCAAGGCACATCACCAGAAGTATGTAAAGTATCTGAAGTTCATTTGTTGCCTACATACAAAATCCTTCTATTCCTTGGACAAGTAGGTATATCAGCACCCCTCAGACACAGCAAAGTATGTCTTTGCCATAAACAGAAATACCGATCACAAATCAAATGGATGAGTTAGTGGCAAGATTGAAGTAGCTGCTCATGAATCTGTTAATCACACATGGAAATGAACTGCTTCAACAATACTTAACACCAGTAGCTTATGGTCTTTTTAAGCCAAATATTGCTTCCCCTTCATGATCAACACAGAGAAAATAATGGCAGCAGGAAACCCCAGAAACAATCACCACAGAATCCAAGTTTTCTTTTTTCCAGCTTCTTGTTACCTCTGTACCACAGCCCCTTTGTGCCAACCAGGCTGACACAAATAGGCCCAAGGACAAAATATACTCTCTTTATCACACCAGGAATAACTTGTTCTGGGCTCTGGAGGTGCTCCATAAAAAAATACAGGGAGGAACAAAGTAGAAGGGGTTGATACTTGTAGTTGAGTAGATAGAACTTCAGAGAATAGCTCAGTATTGCCCTAATGAGCAGCAGAGATTGCATCATCTTCCAGAGTCTCTAAATAATGGATGTACATGCAGGCCCACACCTGCACACCCAGAACTTTCAGTTAGCTTGAGACTACAACTGCAAAGGCTGTGGCACTGTGTATTTCATGTTAAGAATCAGAAGGAACAAGAGAAAACGGCATTTTAAATTTTCCCAACAGAAGGAAGACCCAGAGTTCCATTCCCGCCAATGACACCACCTCTTTTGAGCCTTTTCTATATAGTAACCTGCCCGGTTTCATTTCACTGTTAGTCCATAAATAAAGCCATTATATTTTCACATTTCACTACCTCTGCAGCTACGCAGGAAGGTACATCTACTAGTTCTGAAGTTTCACTCCAGTTAAAAGTTTGGTCCCAATAAAAACTCCATAGTCAAAATATCCCACTGGTAACTAACAAAACCAGTAACATTATAAAAAGATTCTTACCATTGACACTGACTAATGACAAAATGTTATCCTGATGGTCACTAAGGCGTTTTAGTTCAATGACATTCCAATCTTCAGATCCACCATTAGAAGCCATCAACCTAAAAATGACTTCAAAGATAGAGAAAGAAATTGTCTAAATAAGCTTTATCATTCAGAATAAAATGTAGCTATGCTTAAATAAAACACATCATTTTCAGAAAGACACAAACAAAAACCTGTTATAAGTGAGACGGTATTGGATGTGCAAAGCCGCTTATGACCACTCACAATGCCAAAAAAAATGGCAATAAACTATTTCAGTGTTATTATTGAGGCCTTTTACTACAGCAACTGTAGGACAAAACATTTCAGCCTAGTAACTCTGAAGTTCAGAGAATTGGTCAACATCAGAAGTTACAGAAAGCAGAAGTGAAGAGTATTAGACATCTTCATGGATAAGTAAACTAAAAGCTAAACATCTTTCTTAAGGGCTCCTTTGATTGAAAACTATCATTCAAAAGGATGTAGTATTCTCTAGCAAGGCAATCAAGATCACCAGGAATTAAGACTTTATTTTAATGAGTCTTGGAATTTCTTTTATGATATTTCAAGGGCACTACAGAAGAACTGTGGGAAGTTCAGATGGAAGTTTACATTGCATACCAATGTCTAAGCACAACAGACTATTTTTAATTTGCTCCCAATTCTTTGATCAGAATATCAGATTGCTATTTTTCAGCTAAGTGTTTAATCATATTGAGCAAAGTCTGTTGTTTTGCTGATTCAGTGCTCTAGTTTTTCTCCTAGATTTTTTTCCATATTTCGAAATGTCAGTAATTTTATAAAACATTCTTTTTTTTAAAAAAAGACTCTCCACCAACAGCTAGCCGATGATTTACAGTTTGCATACACAGAAAGCCCTGTCTCCAAGTGAGCAACAGAAACCATCACATTGTCTCATTATAGCTTTCGATAGTATAACGAGATCAACAATACCTCATACTCCTGATCTTGGAATAAGGTGGCTCTAGAGAAGCCTAGTATCTGAAAGCTCAGATAATGAGTTCCAGACTTTCTCCAGAAGGACAAATGTAGATCACCACAATCAGATCTGGACAGGTGGCAATAACAGTAATAACAATAACAAAGAACACAGAAAAGTTTTGTCATGAAGATCTCAACAAAATTCCTGAAAGAGATTAGTATTGTCTGCCTCTTAGTCAAATAAGAGAAAAAGGAAGAAGGTTGCTAATCACACCCTAATACCATTTTCTTTTCCTATACAATTCCATGCTCTTTACATATATCTCTGATAAGCAGGTGTTATAGCTTCTATAGCTAGAACATGAACATTTAACAGAAATGCAACATACTCACTTAGCTCCTTGCCAACAGCTGCCGCAACGCAATTTTTAGGCAATTCAACCAAAGCACTGATACCTTTGAAAAAATACAGGAGATAAGAGAGAAAAGGATATTCGTTGGCTCCAAGAAAACAGCAAAATCTTAATACCTTATTAATAAAGTTCTTCATAATCTTCCTTCCACTTCAAATTCTTATCAAAATAAAAGCGTATTGCCTGAAGTTAAACGGCATTAGAAGTGAACAAACTACCTCAGATAAAGATAGAGTCAGGAGTTTTTGTCCTGAATCCAGCAGCATTCTGAATGTCAAACTTGAGCTAAAGCTGAGAATCAATAATTTTTTTTTATTTTAAATAGTTAAGATGTTTATATCTTAATGCTGGACAGTATTAAGGACACTGTGGTTATTACTGAGACTCTAAACATATGCAGTACCAAAGTTATTAGATACTGGTACTACCACAGTATGCATGATACTAGAATATCATGCAGAGCCAGCTGAAGAAGAAGAGGGCACAAGATAAAATATCCAGCTTGCTGTTACTCTGCTTTCATCCCGCACAGAATTCCCCTAGTCTGTGCCGCCACACCATTAAAGGAAAACTCCCCAAGGAATAAGCAATCTGTCTCCTTCCCCACAAAGGAAGCAAAAGATTAAGACGGACGAGAGGGCCCATGCTGCACAGCCTGTTGATCCTTTGTACAAAAGTTTCAATATTATCTCACACTAAAAACCACTTCCAACTGGTATTTAGCATTATATTTCATATTGAACCAAAAGACGAGCCAATATCCTCAAAGATTCAGAAGGTTTTGCCTAGCACTACTCCATTCTATGACAAAAATAAGGAAAATATTGGTTCCAACTTCCAGTTTGATTCACAGCTTTGCAGACACCTTTGTAACGTATGGCAATAATACGCAACGATTTTCTTCACATGGACAGATAATATATAAGCTTATTAACAGAAAAGCATGATTGACATTGAGATCTGACTACGTTTACTGTATTTCTATCAAAACCTGCATTGTCTACATCAAAAGTACTGATTCTTAATCATGAAAAGAAATCTGTACTGCTCTACTACCACAAAGCTTTACTTGGGAATAATAAAACTCCTGCTCATTCACAGAGAAAGCCAGCCAAAGGATCTGGTCCACATTACAGCAAACATATATATCAGCATCTGAGATCTAGCCCTGTAAGTCCAAGCTAACGTACAGTTACTGAGATTTGACATATCCTAAAATTCACACAGCACAAGAGATTAAAAGCAGTCTTAATTCTGAAACGATTAAGTCTGACATTTAAAAAAATAGAGAGTGGCTTTAACACATAATGTTATCATTAGAATTAAAGAGAATTTGCCAAGTTGGTTTTGCATCATTATACAGATCCATTTTACTTGCACTTTAACAGCTATAATGAGTCATTTACATTTTTACCTGCATCAGTGAGATGACTGGTCTTACACAAGAGATCTAATTCTCGGTTCCAAACACATAGCTCACTCCCTCCAGACAACCATACATCCAGTCTTTGAAGAACTGTCAAACACTACAGAACAAAAATCAGATATATGTCCCGTGCAAAAGTTCTACAGGGAATTTCTCAGTGAGACGATCATGAGCTTTAGCTAGAGAAAGCGGTAAGTACTATGAAATACAGTATTAAGGTGTCACTTTCCAGAGAAACACAGATTTAATTACATACCATATGTTACATTTTTTGTCAACAATGCAAAACCTGATTTTTCAGCAATTTTTTTTCTACTATTAACATTGAAGAACTAATTTGACTGTAGGTTGTCTTTTCCAACACAGTAACAAAACCAAGCCATAAAATGATCTTTGTTCTACAAGGTCAAAATAATGGTCAAAAAGAAAATCAAGGTACTAAGAGTTCTAAAAACAAATTAAGAATTATGTCCATTTCTCAGCCACTCATTAGGTACCTGTTCTTAAACCAAACGCTCCCGTTCATTTTAACACACCTGCTTGTATAGCCCATGAGCCATGCATAATTAATTCTTGTCTACAACACAACAACAGACAAATCTAGCGTTTCCTCAGCTTACCTTTACAGTAGAATGGAAACATGAAACTTTCTGAACCTGCCTGCCACTACTGCAGTCCCAAACCTGACTTTAACTATTAAGGAAAAGGTTTTTATATATCAGAAATATAACTGCTGTGTTTGTAACTAAATGACAGATTGGGAAGTAGGCATGCAGAGACTCAGTCTTCTAAGCCCTTGATTGTCTTTTCCATATTTGGCCAAAATGACATATTAATAAAGATCTGTTATGGATTCATTTTTGTAGTAAGGAATGCATCTACTTATGAGTAATAACTAGTAAAATACTAGTGTAATCCAATTACACCTACTGGATATTATCAACCAATGAGTTTAAACAACCTGCAGCCTGTCTCAATGCTACCTTTAAAAGCAAAAACCAACAAAAAGCCCATAGAAATTTCAATCTTCTCCAGATCTAAGGATACAATAACTGTTCTATCAGCTGATGCTGTTAAAATCAAATGGTTTTTTTCTTCAGAAGTATCTGACGAAGAAAATGGTGCTATAGCTGTAATTTTGTGTGTGTGTCCATGAAGTTCAAAAAGTTTTTGTCCAGTCTGAAAAACAAAAACACAGGTACTAAATGACTTTTGAAAAGAATTTCTAAGAGTCTAAAATCTCTCTTTCTAAAGTAATTTATGGATTTACTTCTTACTACCTTCAATACTGTTCCAGATCTTACCCAGAATTAAATAACACATTAAATGTGAAGGAGTAATACATAATAAAAATTAAGAGTATAAAAAAAGTCTAAAAGCCCTTAAGAACCGAGTTCCGTATTAAACTCATTTCATTTTAATACCAGTATTAGCCATTCACTTTTTTTAATGGATACTACAGTAACTCAGATTTGTTGGCAAACTCTTTCTTCAGGAAGTAACTTTTTTTTTATTTTAATGATTCAAGAAACTTGTCGTATATTTATGGCAAACACTGTACTGCCAATTTCCTGACAGCTTTATTTCGTATGTACATTATCTACAGCTTCAGACTGGTAGCTTGGATAACTGCAGGTACTTCTGCTCTGTTCAGTTAGGTAGCAAAACCCTACAAACGAATATGCAGAAGCACACTGACATGTTAAACACGCAATTAAAATACAAGGTAGTTATAACTGTAAACTTCTTTACACTTGTGGGTTAAGTTTTTAAATTAAAACTACAAAAGATTTGCTTTAATAAAAACATAATAAAAATCCTACGGAAGTAGAAAATGGAACTCAGTTCCTAAGCTGGATATCTAAATGAGTTATATATTCACAAACTGCTCAAAACACTGAGTATACATACTCACATATACGGTTTTGAATATTCAAAACCAATTTAATTTTCCAAATTATAGAATTATAAAAGGCCTTCAAAAACAGCAAAACACTAACTGAAACTGCTCAAGAGAAGAAGTTTCAAGTTTCTCTTCCATATTTTAAAATTACACCACCTCAAATGTCACATAAATTTTTCAGAAGGTTTCTAAAAGAGTTTACAGTTTGAGATTTATTTCTTTCTTAATTCGAATGAAAGATCAGGTGGGATGAGGCTTTGAGCAACCTGATCTAGTGGAAGGTGTCCCTGCCAGTGGCAGGGGGGTGGAACTAGATAATCTTTAAGGTCCCTTCCAACCCAAACCATTCTGTGATTCTATAAATGTCTGATACTCGCAGGTTAGACAGCACAGTA